CTTGTTCTTTGTTTTTCTCTCTGTGCTTCCAGTGTACAGACAGCTGTCCAGGCCGCTGCTAGAAAGAAAGATCTGTAAGAGTCCTGTTTCATCCCTGCCTCCCTGCCGCCTCGTCTTCCTCTTCCTCTTTTGCTACCCTGCTTGGTCTTGCCATCGCCCGCTGTCATACTGCCCTAACTGCTCTGTAACAGCCTTGGCTCCGCGCAGAAGAATCTAATACAACTAGGACACGATTATCTTGCTTGCCTCCCTTTTGCTGAGGAGTAGACTTTAGCAAAAGCTGAACACCCCCCCCACCACCGAATTTCATATATCCTGCTCTGGTAGACGCGTACTTAATGTCCTAGACAGTGACTTATGCGAATAAATCTTCTGTTAGAATGGCCCCTCCCCCAGAAAAGCAGTGGTGGAGTAGGCCAGTGTGCACCAGGAAGCGGACCTCAGTGAGAGGAATACCCATGCTGCCTCCCATTGGTTGTCCTCATACCCATGCTGCCTCCCATTGGTTGTCCTCATACCCATGCTGCCTCCCATTGGCTGTCCTCATACCCATGCTGCCTCCCATTGGCTGTCCTCATACCCATGCTGCCTTCCATTGGCTGTCCTCATACCCATGCTGCCTCCGATTGGCTGTCCTCATACCCATGCTGCCTCCCATTGGCTGTCCTCATACCCATGCTGCCTCCCATTGGCTGTCCTCTCACACTGCCTGTGCTGTGCCACGGACATCCTCTGATTGGACCCCCAGCACAGCATGACCACTCCTCGCCAGCCAGGGAACTGGAGACCCATACTCTTTCATAAAAAGAAAAATCATCCATTTATCAATTCATTTATTAGAAGAAGTTTTTCCAAAGGTCAAATGCGATGTATTATCAGGGTAAAATGGACTGTAACTTCCTGCTGAGATGCACTGTGTGACCTCAGCCTAATGTTTTTACTTCCTTATTCCTGCTCTCAGACATTCCAGCTGTTTTGGATTTGGTTGGGATCTTATTTAGCTTTCCACCCCATTACCCTAAGTGACGGCAAAGGGACGGCTGTGTGTGTCTGGGAGGTCATCACCTCCCCCCCCCCCCCCCCCCCCCCCCCCTGATATCTCACCAGCTCCATGGCAGGTGCTTAGCGGGGCTGTCTCTGTAAAGTGCTTTCATTAAACTGAATTAGCAACTGCAGATCTGCAAAGAATATGATGGGGGGGGGGGAGCAGGGGTGGATGCATCTGGAATACATTCTTTATTTACAAAAACTTATCCAGACGTATGAATTGAACTATTGCTGCAAAGAGGCTTCTCCCAGCTCATGGGAGTTTTACTTACACAAAACTGTTCTGAGGGCAGAAAGAACAAAGAGAGATAACCAATCAAATTGTAGAGGAGGTGGATCCAAGCAATCCGATGTCTTGGTTCTGCCTCCTCCAGTTGCTTTCACCCACCTTTTCTATAAATCGACTGGCTATCACTCTGAACTAATCATTGTTCCTGCTGCCCTCAGAACATTTGTGTGTAAGTAAAACTCCCATGAGCCTTCTCCCAGCCAGCCATCAGGATTTCTTTGAGCAGTGGTTGAATTTGATGAGCACCGTGATCCTGGGTGGGAATCCCCCTGGATGGGAATCCCCTTCTCGATTGGCGAAAAGCAGGCTTTGGCGAGTGGAGGGCATCATGGAGCATGGCTCACAGCCTCCTGCATAGCTGTCTGCATACGTGTATCTCGGAATGGATGGAGACGGCCTGCATTTAGTCAGCTGTGATAGGCCTTATCACTTATGTCCTCCCTGGTCTTTAATTAAGCAGGCCTCCTGAATCGGCTCTCTCCTTAGTCTTGGCACAAATGCAATTTATGGTTACGACTGTAGTATCTCTTATGGGATTGAAGCTTTCTGCCAGTCTAGTTACTTTAGTCCAGGAGGCTGTCAATGAGACTGCGGATTCCTCAGAGGAAACGATGAAGATTCCTTTCATGTGAAAGCTTGGCTTGCGTGTATGTTGGTCGCATGCGTGCTGCCTGCCCTGCTTGTGTGATCCATCCCTGGCTGCGCTCCCGTGTGCGGCAGAGGCGAGAGCCGAAGCCCGCAGCCGCCTGATTGACGTGCCGCTGTCGCCACAGTGACACGGCATCCAGTGTGGGGTCCCTGGGCACAGAGGACGTGGGCGAAGGGATCCGCACTTGGCTGGGCGTGCCCCGCGCCAGGGCGTCTTCGCCGTATGGAGGCAGCAGTACCACCGGCAGCCTGGGGGGGCGCCAGTCTGTCACAGACACCATGAGTGCCTACAGCTTCCGGTGAGTTCTAACCACAAGTGTCAGCTTCGGGGGGGGGGGGCAGAGGGGTACCTTCCGTCTTCCACCTTCCACGAATGTACTAATAAAATATAAGACCCTACTGCGCACTTAAGTGCTACTTTAGCTATTCTCAGCAAATATCACACTGTTGCCTTTTCCTGAGCCATTAATAGTACACATTCTGCTCCCCATTATTAAGAAAAAGTACTTTGAGGTAAATGTCACTACCATATGTTCGTTCTAAAAGCCGCCTTGAATGACAGTCCATTTATTGCATTTAACGGTATTAAAATCATGTGGGTTGACCTTCTCTGAAATCTCAGACAAAATGGAACAGGGCTTCTGTAATCTTATAGTGAATTTGTTCTTGAGGAAGAGCTGCTCCGTCATCCATAGGGCCTCCTCCTCCTGAAAGGACGAATCACACTCAGTTTCATCTGCTTTCAGCCAGAACTGCTGGCTGGGAATGCAGGGTACATACTGCCTAGGAGATCCAGTCAGTCTCTCACTCTCTCACACGCACACACACACACACACTGAATTCAGGGCCACCTCTTCACCTGAGCTGTCTGTCTTTGGACTGTGGGTGGAAATCCCACACGCACACGCATTTCTGAGGGCATGTTCAGACCCCGCAATGCTGGAGGCGTGAGGAGGCGGCAGCCTCTGCTTAGTCACCGTGCCGACCGGCGATGTTCACATTCCCTGAACAAGTGCCGCCGCACCTCCTCTCAGCGCGACGCGACCATCTCCGGGTGCGTTTTGGCCTCAGAGAGGCACCGATTTCCGACAGTAACACGTCTCTGAGGAACGGAGGCGCACCAGCCGTTTTCATTCCACATTCACACATATGCGAAAATGCATCCATGGAATAATCGTGCAGCAGTTATAGTCAGTAGGGCCTTTCTCCAGCCTTACCTGGGGGGGGGAAGCCGGCGTGGGGGTGTGTATATATCTGCTGACAGACAGAGACATTGGCACTGACAGCTGTTAGCTGGCTGCTGTTGATAGAGCTCCAACCTGCTGCTTTTAGCCAGTCGCTGCACCCCCCCCACCGCCCCCGCACCCTGATCAATGTGCGGCCACAGGAAACGGAGCTCACACATGTGCTGAGAGCCCTAGGCGATGCCCGGCCGTTATACCTGCCGCCCATAAAACTCGCCCTCATCCCACCGCCAGTCAATTAGAGGCCAGAGAACATAAACACTTTATAATAAATAAATAAATAAATAAATAAATAAATAAATAAAAAACACTGTCCACTTCATACGAATTTCACAGGCCCTGGGGAGGGATGGGGGTATTTTATTGGCTCTTTTCCAATTTGCCCTTCATTTCTTACACCCCCCCCCCCCCCCCTTTCTCTCTGTTTTATTCTCAAGGTCTTTCGCGTCGGAGCGGGAGGTGGACCAGACGTCGACGGGGCAGGGGGGGCAGGCATCATCCTCATCCGCCCTGTCCGAGCTGCTGGAGGGGCTGCGTAAGAAGAGAGGGGGGTGGCAGCGGGCGGCCGACCCAGGGGAGGACAGCGCCGTGTCGCTGCCCATCTACCAGACTACTGGGGCCTCTGTCCTGCGCCGGAGGTCCTCCGCCTTGTCCCTGCAGGATGAGGAGGACGCTGAAGGGCCCCGGCCCGGAATCCTGAAGCCCACTATCCCCCTGGTGCCCCGCGCCTCCAGCTTGCGCTCGTTGTCTGACGAGGCGACCGGCACGGCGAGCGGCAAGCTGGGCCGCTTCGGCTCCTGCGAGTCCCTGGCGTCGTCCGTGACCTCTGCCGCCGCGCTGAGCCGCCGCCGCTCCAACCCCGCCATCCCTGAGGAAGAGGAGGAACGGTGCGCTCGGGCCCCCGGCGCCACCCGCTCACCGCAGCTCATCCACCGGCGCATCCTGGGCAGCCTGGCGGCATCCGAGGTCGACGAGCTGGAACTGGGCGCCGAGCCGCTGGTCTTCCAGAACCGCCGCCTCCACGGACACCTGGAGGAGGAGGAGCAGCTGGACGACGCAGCGGCAGACGCCGCCTCGGACATCCTGCCCGCCGTCCGCCGTGCCCGCTCCGTCAGCAGCCTGTCTGGGGCCAGCTCCGTCCGGGGTGGGGGCCGGCGCGCCCTCAGCGTGCACTTTGGGGAGCTGCCCCCTTCCCGGACAGCCTCCCGACGCGGCTCCGACTCTGACGACTCCGGCTCGGGGGGGTGTCAGCGCCGGGGGGAACGCCTAGAAGCCGAAGGGAGTGAGGGAGACATCAACGCCGTGATGAAGAAGTACTTGCGCCAGGCTGAGGCAGACTGAGGTGAGGCCGCTCTTCATCGCTCTTCACCTGGCTCTCGTAAGAGTGAGTCATGCAGACCAGAGTCATCCCAGCCTCCTCTCACCCACATCTCCCCTCCTCCTCAGTGTCTGACTGTACCACAGGCCTCGGTGAGCACTTCCACACTTGGAGAGAAACCACTGAGCGCCCTGTCAGCCTGCAAGCTGGATGCGGAGGCACGCTGGAAGCGGACACAGGAGATATTTTAAAACTTGTTTATACTCAATAAAGATCATATAAAACCAGACTAGTTTTTCCATGTGGTCTCCTGACAGCTTAGGATACTGTGCTGTGCCCTCAGAGCTGCATTTCTTGGGCCCCACCTTGAATAAAAAAGTTCAGCAACTGTTTGAGGATAAATTCAAGATGGGTCTGTAAATCATTAGAATCCAGCCCTGCACCATCCTAAAGCTATTTTTCCCATTACCTCATACCCTTGGCTGTATTGGGAGCCAAAAGCATTTAACTTGCCTTAATAGAATCAGCTAGGAAAATGCTGAATTACGTGTACGCAGAGTTTTGCCCCATGACTCAGCATATGCCCGGAACGTTAAGGTCGAACACTGTCAAGTTCAGGTACTTAAAAAAAAAAAACTCTTGTGTCCATTGGGGGGCCAGCAAAGGTAATGCATGTCAGGAGGCCATGGCTGCATCTGGAAGGTCACCAGTTCAAATCCCACACCTGACAGAGTAACCACACATTCAATGGGGCCCTGAACCCCAGCTGATCTTGGGCTGCTGTATAAACGGCTGACCCTGTGCTCTGACCAAGCTTTGCTCTCGTTTGTGTGCGTCTTAAGCAAGATGGGATATGCAAAGATTCTCATTGTACAGGTGCCAAGTAAAACGAAATGTAAATGGCGAAGTTAACTGGGGGTAGTTTGCCTCCTGAGGAACACTGGGGAGTTACAGATCAAGCGGATTAAAAGGGCAACTGCATTATAAAAAAAAGTTGACCAGCAACGATCAGAGAAGAGAAAGGTTTGAAGCTAAATGAGCTTCCTATTCAGCCCTAGAGTCATTTCCAAGCCGTAATCTTTAATTGATCTCGCTGAGGTCTATAGGTCATTTTATCCATTTGTAAATTGGGATGGTCCTTCAGATGAGTAACATCTTCAAACAGGAGGGATGAAACTTCTCAGACCTGGATGTCAGCTGGCCGTGGAACAGATTCAGTAAAGTCAAGGCGCACACACACAGCCTTACCAGCAGCACAGAACTGAAATGAAGCATCTTTATTTACAAGTGACAAAATGGCATAACAGATGAAGTCAGTCCATCTACAACGCCCAGTGCACATCTTCCCTCATTTATTCTGGCAGGTAGAAGCTCTGTCTCATTTTCAAGAAGCAGTTCTGTTTTATGACCTACAATTAAAAAGGTAGGAGACTGGTGTGAATATTCGTTTTATTCATGTCATCTTCATGAATGTCATCAGCAAATCAGCCACACCATCAATGTTGAGACCATTTCTGAACATCTACCTCAGACTTTCTTGGCCTCTTGCTTGCGTCCTCTTCCCTTGCCCTGAAAGTTTTGATTTGTTACAGAGCAGGCAATCATCCAATTAAAACACACACACACACACACACACACACACACACACACTGGACCTACAGGGGACCTTGTAGTTTTGTTTAACCCTTTCAGGCTCAAATTAAGTTTTAGTAACAGGACAGGACAACCAAGTCCTGTGTTACTTCTGAGTAAAAAAAAAACTCAAAATATGTGTGTGGGGTAATAAGGTAGTTAGTTTGTAACTGTTGCAAATCAGCAACGCCTGCCTTGAGAGGGTTAAATATACTGACCTTTTTGGGGGGGTTATTCTCATCATCAGAGCCTTCACTTTGAGGGGGGAGGAAAGCAAGTTGGTTAATGTCTTACAGTAAACTTGAATACTCAAAACAAGACATGAACCAGACACCATTCACAAACCTACAGGAGTGGCACTAAAGTCAAACACCCCCATTTTCATACAGGGTGGTGAATAGCCCCCACCTACCCATCATCTGCTTCTTCTGGCTTCTTTCTCTGGCAGGGAGGAGATCCAGTTATAGCGTTAATTCTACTTGTTAAATTCCCCTTATAACCCACCCCCCGGTAACATCTCACACTTCTAGAAACTTGGTTGCTAAAGCCTTTGACTACTTCATAAGCATAATGCCACCCACTAACGCCTTACCTTTCCGGAGGCTTCTCTCTTTGTCGCAGGCTTCTTTGCTGGCTTAGGGGGAGATTCCTCAATCTCTTCCTCCTCTTCCTCCTCACTCATTTCTTCACCAGCCTCCTCAAGCTCCTCATCAGAGTAGTCTTCCACTAAAAGAAAACCCTCAGGGATTAATTTGGATTTTCTTGGACAGCTAGCTGAATAGCCATGGACAAGTGCACGTGACATGGAATAACCGATTCAGACAGCGTGAAGGGGGGGGGGGGACTTACATGCGACGTGTTCCCCGCATATATAAACGGGTCCTGAGCCATTTTTCAGTCTGAACGTTATTGGCGGGTGCAGTTCTATGCCACAAAGGTTTACCTGTTAAAATGTGAAGCTCATTTACGTTAAATCAGAACCCAGGTCAGCAAATTTATTTGTGAAGCTGCCCTGCTCACCGTGGGCAAGCCGGGCGCCCGCAACGTCGCCATGGGAAAAGCCTTGATCTCATCCTGCCCTTGTTGTATAACCAGCTCGACTACATTGAGCTCTTCGTTTTTAGCGTCGGCACCTAAGCACATCTAAAGAGAGACTCCGAATTAAGTTCGTCGAGTTAGTTGAGCCTTTTGTTTTATGCGTGTTATGCTTACGGTTCTCAGCGAAAGCTGATGCTGGAGCTCCGTGTCATCCGTCCTAAAGGTGCCGGTCTTGTTTTTCTCGTTTAGTTCACAACCTTAACAGATTTCGTGAAGGAAAGAAGGGGAAAAGTTCAGGTTATAGCTGAGGACAGTAAATCGTTGTCCACCGTTAAATAAAAGTAATCTTTAAAATGATTCATTATCCTCCCAAAGCTTTTGGAGATAATGGTCTGAAGCTGAGAGTGATCTACCCCATAGAGTTGAAATAGGTTTTTCGGATTTGCTGGATTCGTTTGTAGCCATGTTCTCGGACACCTCAGACGCAGTTAAGCAGTTGAATTATCGTGGCTTATAAAGCCACCCGGCGTGACGTCCTTTCCCGTTGCGGGATAAAGTACTCCCTTTCGGAATACCCTATGGTAATACTGGGGGGGGGGGAGATCACTTCTACTATGCAATGATTTTTTTAAGAAGCGGCGGCTGGATTTTGGCAGGTGACTTGAATTAAACTGACGGCCAATGAGCAATAGGCTACAAAGCAGGTTATAATCAAGCGAGGCTTCGGCCGGATGCAGCCTGAGCTTCTCCTCGGCAAAGGGAAGCTGCATGTCTTCATCGCGGATCGTCAGGCTGCCGCCGACACTTGCGCGTTATGGAAGCGCAGCGGACCCGATTTCATGCTGCATGTCCCAGGTTGCTTCCCAAGTCACAGCTTGTCATTCCGGACGTTTCTCTGCGGTTTCCTCATTAAGGTTCCCGTTTAATAAAAAGCCACTAACTTTTTATTCACACGCTTATTCCGCCTTCTTTAAAACTTTTCAATTTACATGTCTCTGCTAGACTCCCTATAAACTCTAAATGTTAGATAACCGACTTACTCAAAGTTTTTATACATTATTTGGATATTTAAGCTATTTTAGGCCTTTTCTATTCGCAGTTTTGACAGACTAACGACACAGTCCTCAGACTTAATCCTCCCGTTTTCCAACATAACCTTCAAAATGAGCCTTTTCGCCAAAAGTGACTTGGTAATATTAAAAAGCGCTTCTAGTCCAGGTCGACTATGTATTGTCAATGAAGTCATTTTCACGAATCGCCATTGTGAACCGGATAATACAGTTAAATGTAATGTAGTATATTTTATAATTGTCGATTCACGGGGAACTCGTGTGTAATGCTGTTTCTTGATTAAACAGACTTCATCGCTTGTTAAAAATACTGGTGTATACGTCAGCTCATGAGTGGTACATGTGTAAATGACCTCCTTACTCATGCATTTAATCTGAAACAGAGACGTGGGTACATGGGAGGATCAATGAAAAGATTCACTGATAGTATGAGGCTCGTCCCACGTGTTTCGCCGTCCGGGAGATATGCATCGTGTTTTTCGGTGAGTTTGATTATCCACATTGTGTGTGTGTGTGAGAGAGAGAGAGAGAGAGTCCCCCAAAAGTCTGAGTCAGTGCTGCTTTTTCCGTAGGGAGTTGACATGTGTGGCTGACCTCCACAGCAACAGCTCCTACTGCATGAATTGTCATTACGTGGTGAATGTCTGGATGAGTTCACTGAAGCATATCAGTGAATAAGTTTGCGTGTGACGCTCTGTGTATTAAGTGTGCACAAGCTACTGTATGTGCGATTGTCTGAGTAACTGTGTGACACGATGTGGGTGCTGGTGAATATGAATTCGCGAGTCAATAAAATGTCTGCATCTGCTTGTTTATGGCTGGGGCTGTGTCTGTGTATCATTCAGCTGTGTGATGTATAATTAATGATGCCCTCTGGCCACAGAGACACAAGCTCTAGAAAAGTGCTTAGGGGGTGTGACCCTCACCCCCCGGAGTTGTAGGGCATAGCCCACCCTCTCTCTGCCATCAAAGATGATCAGAAAGGGGGGAGGGAAAAACTAGTATGTATAGGTAGAGAAAAGAAAGATTGCAGCCCAAGGATGTACAAGCACCGTCAGAGTCTGCAAACAGCTCGATAGCCAATCCACACATTAGGTTACACTCTCTAACACGTGATTCCCAACACAACATGCCTTTCCCAACGTTACCCCGACGTTGGTCAGGGGTCTTTAAGTACCACGCCACCTGCTGCCTCTGTGTGTCTATAAATAGTTCTTGATGGAAGTACATGTGACTTGTTGCCGTGGAACCCTCACACCGCTGTAGACTGTGCCTCAGGTGGGATTATTACCTTTGTAGTGGAGGCGCTGATGAAATTCTAATGCCCCCCCACACACACACACTCACACAGACGTGGAGTGCCTTTGAACGATCCTTTTTTACCTCTGACATATCCGCCGAAAGGCAGATCGCGCTGCTCTTTCCCCAGAATGAGAGGCCATACCGGATTAGATTGTGTCTAAGAATGCAGCCTGAGATGGTTTGTTTGTGTCTCTCTCTTCCTCTCCTCTCTCACGTCGTTCGGCTGCCTCTCCCTCAAACTTCCCTGCCTCTCTACCTCGTTTGCCTCTCCATCCCTCCTCTTCTCTGTATTCCTGATGTGGCATTGACCTGCTCAGATCAGCATATCACAGATGCATGGATGACTCCAGATTGATCCTGACCCAGCCAACCCCCCCCCCCCCCATGCTTTGATATGGCTTCATTACTTTGTAGGGCTCATAAACCTTTTTTCTTCCACTTTGAGTGCCATCGTCGTCCCCCCAGCACCACACCATCCCTGCACTGCCTTCTCTTTAATGTGTGGCACTGCAGCTTTAGCCTGTATGCTTGACGGGGTTTGGTGGTGTTCGGGGAGGGGGTGGGGTCTCTCACCTGTTTCTTGTGTGGAGCCTCGTCAACATGCCCTGCGCACCCCCTCCACCTCCAACCTGCCAGCGGAGTCATAGATCAATCGCTGGATATCGGATGGCAACACACACGCAGTAAATCTATATTTATATCCCTGCTCTGTGTGAGCCAGAGAGAGGGAGTGCACTGCTCGATCTGTGGAAGGGAAAGCAGGAATCTCTCTGCTCGTCCCACGCAAACTCAAATGCCCTCTACACTGTGAGTAGGCTGTGATGTTCTGGCTGCCTGTTAATGGATTCCGGTGGCTCTGCAGGCCCAGAGAATGTTCCCCTTACTGTTTATTTCTGTGTGTTTTCTGTATTTTCTGTCTTGGGGGGGGGCTGTCACATCTCCCTTTGTATGTTCGCCAGTTTTGCGCCTATCTGTCATTCAAGGACCCTTATTTCAGGAAAATGCCTTTCGAGCTCATGATCCATACTAAATGCATCAATGCAAAACTCAGTAATTAAGTATGGCTGCAGGGCAGCCAGTATAAACCCCTATTAACTTTTGATAAAGGAATATTTGTGAGGCCAGCTGTTATTTTATTTTTGGCTTGGAGCTTTCATAAGCATATTAATGCACGCGTTACAAAGCCAAATGAATGCATTCCGACAGACAGTGAAATGCAGTTGGCCATCGAGACAGGTTAACGGGAATAATTTATACGAGGCTATTTTGAGTTGTACATTGTTATTCAGTGGAATTAAAACCAACCAGTTCGACACGACCTTGTGACAGCTAATTATTTCCTGTGCTGCGAACGTGACCGTCAGTTGTAAATCAATGTCTGATAAAAAGTAATTCGCCATTGTTTTTCAGTAGTAATCAATGTATTATTTTATTCAGTAGAATTGACCTTGTAAAAATCTGAGACACCGTATCCTCGCGCCGTGTATCAGTACAAGGACCGCCCACTTGGCCTTCAGCACCATGGACAGAGCTACATGCAGGAAGCCCTTTCACACTGCGTGCGCCGACGTGAATTACTATAAGTTCTTACTTTTCTATTGTGTCCAGTCTGTTAAAGCCTTAGAAGATCAAATAAAATTGTTTTATACCTCAAGTGGTTCTTTTAAGGATTTCTCTTGACTTCAGAGTGTTTGTAGATGATCCGACAAAATGGAGGTTCACTGGGAAACTGCCAGCGTGTACCCTGCATTGCCTTGTCTTGTGCTTCCAAAAAAAAAAAGACAAAAAATATTTGGATGAGTAATTAAAATCACATCTGATTAGCCTAACTACCTGCATTAGTAAACAAAAAACGTGTAAAACAATACAATTGTATACGGACTAGGAGAAAAACGTCTAGTTTGTTGCTTTAATGATTTACACGGGGAAAAAATCGGTTGTTCGGTGTCTATATTCATGCGAAATCCTAAGTAAAACCTTCTTTGTACTTCATCTCCGCTTCTTAGCGTCTCATACTCGATGACAGTCTGGAACACTTGCAGAGTTTAATATTAACTGCACGAAATCGGGTCAGACAGACTCCCGCGCAGTATTTTGCCCAGTCCACACTGTATATAGAGGTCATCTACAGACATTGTTTTAAAATTAATCGCTGCAAATCACTGTATTTAATTTGTAACATGTCCTGAGATTAATCCTTTTGAAACTTCAGGAAACAAGCCATTAATTGCGTAATAATAATAATAATAATAATAATAATAATAAATACAAATTACATGGATTAATCAGTCTTCCAGCTACTTAGTACAGGGTCGCAGGGGAACGAACTATATCTCTGACAGTGTTGGGCACGAGGTAGGGATACCTCCTGGACGGGGTGCCAGTCCGTCGTAGGGCACACGCTACGGGCAATGTAGAAACGCCAATTAGCCGGAGAAAACCAGCGGAACACTGGAGGAAAATGCACATTCCGCACGGGCTGGTATGGGATTCCAGCCGAAAACCTGGAGGGAAGAAAATGAGGGGGAAAGCAACCGATAACAAACGCCAACAACAGCAAGTGGGTCTATCTAAGTCGGACACCTTCCACACGTCTTTCCTTATTTCGTTTGAAGATGGAAAGAAACCAATCATACACAGGAGTAATAGCATCCGCCAAAGCTTGATAACTTATTTAACCACCCTGGAATAATTTGAATAACTTCAAATGACAAGTATATATAATCCATTTACAGAACACGTACGTCAGTTGTACACAGAAATGTTTTTGTGTTGACGCGTTGCTGCGCCTTGCATTGATATATGTGTGAAGGAAATTGCAGCGTTGCTAATAACCTGACAAACGCCAGCACAATCTAAGCATGCAAACACTCTTCCCTCTGACCTCCATCTCCCCAGATGAAATGCAATTAATTCATTCACTGAGGCAGCTTGTTCATCCCGACATAAAATCTCTGCGCGCAGCGTATATTTTGCCTATAGCCTCCTAAATAACTTACAGTGCAGCTTGTCAGCAGCTCGGGTGCAGATCGTTAGGAGAGCAAGGGAAAAAGAAAAGAAAGAAAAACCTTCTTAAGCATTTGAAAGGTCGATGTCGGGTGTAATTAGTAATTAACTAATAAGTATTAATTTCGGGAAATCGTTGTGATTTGCCTCGAATGGTATTAAAAAGTATGAAAAGCGATTTCAAAATGGCGAGATATCCGTTAACGTTACAGTTTATGAAATGTAACTTTAAACACAAAAGGAAAACTCTTTTAAAAATATTTTCGTCTGTATATAGCTGGGGAACTCGTTAGAATCTAAATAGATCTATGTCTAATACTTTAACTGATAGTATGCAAATTCTGGACAAACAACTACAACAAACAGCTCCTAAACGTGTTCTCACTCAGTCGCAGGTGACTAGCAGATGCAATAAAATTAAGTCCGAGTGTATCCTTCAGATATGGAGGGAGAGACAGAAAGGGGGGTGGGATCGAGCGTGTCAGGGAGGGGTGTGTGAGGGAGACGCGCACACTGCGGAGTTCAGGCGAGGAGAGAATCGAAGAGGATAGTGAGACACCGCACCGACCGAGCTGTACAGCCCACCGGCGCATCTCAGGCGGCTCTGCCAGTAATCGCCAGCGTGGTCGTGGCAGATATACTGGGGGATTTATCGACTCTCATCCGTCTGCGTTGCAAGTTGGTAATAAATCGGACTGTAAAGGACCATGCTGGCTATACTCTCGGTGCTGAGAGTCATACTTACAGCCGGGATTCTGCGGGGTCTCGGCTTTGCTCAAGGTAAGCTTAATGTGGTTTCGACGGGCTAAATTGAATTAAACAGCAAATTTACCTCTGTACAGTAGAAGGTCTGTGTGCCTGAGTTCGCCTTGGTTATCTTTATTTGAGACACGTTTGCCCTGTTACCGGTTTTCGCGTTGCCCGGTTCGAGTATGACTTTCGAAAGTAATTTTAATGAAGCCACAACTCTCATAAAGCGGAATACAAGAGTAATGGGAGACGTTTGGAAACACAGGCATTTTCGCATTCTGCATTGAAATGTCCGTGGTTGTCGTGGGGAAAATGCAGGGAAATGCACTTAAGTCCAAAATGCGGACGGTAAGACAATGACCCAGAAATGTTCCTTATAATAAAAATCGCGTCTTGCATCTCAGCAGTGTTTGATGGTCGGCGTGCATGTGTGCGGCCGGTGCTGCAAAGCGGAGGTTCAGCGTCGATCTGCAGCGCCGTGCGCGCGACGACAACAGCGGGCACTGCGGGTTCGCATCCCGACCTCTGCGTGCTTTAATACGAGTGGCGCTACAAACTGAATTATAAATCACATATCGACCCGCTGGGACCTGCCGCCAGTGCAAGGCTAGACTAGGGTATTTCTCCCGACCTTTACCGGCGCTAATATAATTATACGTTAAAAACACGATGAATGCGTTAAGAGTGTTATGGCAGACACGAATGACCTACATGTAACTCTTTTACTTTGGAAGAGGATGTTTTGTTTTTCGGCCGG